AATAGGTATGTATAGTTTGGCATTATACTTATTCATGCTATATATTTTAACACTACTGATGAATATAAATATTTATTTTTGCAGAAATCATCCTATAACTCCAATGCAGCAACTTCTTTTAACACTCAGATTTTTAGCAACAGGATCTTTTATAATATCTGCAGGTGATTTTGCTGGAGTGAGTACTACTAGTGCTCACAGAATTATTCACCGTGTTACAAGTGCAATTGCTAGACTTCGGCCACATTTTATAAATTTTCCTACTACAGAAAATGAAATAAAAAAAGAACAATTAGAATTTTATAAAATCGCACATTTTCCAAGAGTTGTAGGTTGCATAGATTGTACACACGTTCGAGTCCAATCGTTTGGTAAGTAGTTTTATTTCAAATCTGTTTTATTTGAAATCTTATCTGTTTGTATCTGATCTGTTACAGTGACAAATTACATAAATATGCTATAGAAATTATTAAGTCTAAAAATTTTTCCTTATTGTATTGCAGGTACTGAGAATGCAGAACTGTTTANAAATAGAAAAGGATATTTTTCTTTAAACGTGCAAGTTGTGACAAATAGTAATTTGGAAATTACTAATATTGTAGCTCGATGGCCTGGATCGGCACATGATAGTAATATTTTTAATAATAGTCAATTGCGAGGAACATTTGAACAAGGAATGTACAATGATGGACTTTTATTAGGAGATAGTGGTTATGCTATAAAACCGTATTTAATGACGCCATTGCTAAATCCACGAACTCCTGCAGAACAGCTTTACAATGAATCGCATATACGTACTCGAAATACAATTGAGCGTCTCTTCGGAATTTGGAAAAGACGATTTCCAGTTTTAGCATTAGGACTACGTTTGCAATTGGACAAAGTAATGATTGTAATAGTAGCNACTGCTGTTTTACACAATATTGCTCGTAAAAATAGAGATGAAGAACCACCAGAAGATCCTAACTTAAATCTTCCAGCTCCTTGGGATGAACTGTTGAATTATGGTAATATAAATGATAATGCGGACAACAGAAATAAGGAAAGTCAAAATGCAGTCGAAAGAAGAATACTTATTAACAATTATTTTTGGAGGTAAAGAACAAATAAGTATTGTAATATTTATAGTTTGTACAAAATATTGAAAAATATTAATAATTACATTGTGTATTACAGTTTATTGTAAGTTCGGACTACTCGAAGAAACGTAAATATAAAAAGACAGTATACATGACATGTAAATACATTATTATAATATTACTTATTTAGATAAATAAATA